CTTAATAAAAAAAATTAAGTCTAAATATTCTCTCTCTTAAGTTTTCATGGATATTAGCTTTGAAGAATAATCAATCATTTTACGAATAGTATTAATAGAAGGTCACAATGAATGACATTTAATAATTCAGTCTTATCAAATAGAGTATTTAATAAAACCTTTTTTTTATCTCAATAGGATAGGATTAAAGACAATGCTCGACCTTATAGTTAGTCTATCATAAATTTGATTTTAGTAGATTAGTTCATTCAAATGAATAATTTTACCTTCCTTGATGCAACTTCGAAAAATCCTTATTTAACCCTACAGCCAGTTTTTGTGTACTCAAAAAGTGAGTACACTACTAAAATCGGTCAGTGTGTCCGGCCGGCCGTCCGTTTATCCGATAACTTTCGAAAGGAGAGTCAGATCGCGATGAAATTTTCTACACAGTTCAGTCTTTACAATATCTCGGTCGAGTTCGAAGATGAGAAGAATCCGTCGAGAAATGGCTGAGTTATAAAAAAAATGGTGATTTTTGACCAGGCCATCCCTGAGGGGGGGTACGGGGATTTTTCCAAAAAAAGTTTTTTGCTCATAATTATTCACAAAATAGATTAATCGACTCAGTTTTTAACGTCGATTCTGAATCTGATATTAGTTTTGAAGCAAATTATAGTTTTTGTGTACTCAAAAAGTGAGTACACTATAGGATAGTCAGTGGCCGTCCGTCCGGTCGGATGTTTACATGATAGCTTTTGACAGCAGAGTCAGATTGCGATGAAACTTTCTACACACCTTAATCTTAACAATATCTTGATCGAATTCGAAGATGAGAAGGATCGGCCGAGGCGTTCCTGCGTTATTGCAAAAATACGCATTTTCCCCTATGGCTTCCTATGGAAAAGTCGACCCACTACCACTTTCGTAAAGAACTTTTCCTATCATAGTCAATTAAAACCCCAACTATTATGCACCATTCGATAGAGAATTTCAAGAGCTATAGAATGATATATAAAATATTAAGAAACAACAAAACTAACTCACCTATTCGTAAGATAAATAAGCGGGAATAAGATCGGTTTGTAGTGCACGCTTCAATCGGTCCTCAAGGGGAACTCTGTCTTTCTATCATAGAGGTGATAATCGAAGGTTTTCTAGTATGGAGAACTCGAATCTGTACTCCGCTTGCCTCGAAGGTCTATTGGTTGAACATTGACCAATAGAAATTAAGTTATAGGTAAAACGGCTTTCTGAGGCTAAATTAGACAGAAGAGTTGAAATCTGAGCTTAATTCGGTCTCAAATCCTATTGATTTGTCAACCCGCAATAGAAATGAACATTTTAAATGGTAGATTTCCGAGTATAATATTGATGTTTTCGAGAGTCTAGGATAATTGATTTTATATGATTCACTTTTTCGAGTACACATAACTCTCGGATTTGAATCCGAAGTTTCCGCATTTATTATCTATAAAGTGTAAAAAAAAAAAAAGAACTGTCTATCTCTCTTAATGTTTCTTTTTTTGCAGACAAAGAAGTAAAAATCCTTCAAGAACTATACACAAATCAGCAACAATGCCTACTAACCGTTTAAAATCTTAGTGAGTTTTTGTCTCTATTATCTGTTTTTTATTTTCCCTATTAATTCCAAGAAGTAAATTATCTGTATGCATATTTAGTCCACCTATGAATTTACCTAGTGATGAGGATTGGTATTAATAAATTTATGTATGTTTTATATAAATTTTTAAGATGCTTAAAGAAAATTTTTCGCTCTATTAATGTTTTGCTCATGATCGGTACGTGTTATGTGTTCGCTTTCATATTTGACATGTACCAAATGATTGATTCATTAAAAAAAAAATTCTTACAACAAAAAATATTTGAATTTATGTTTATTATGAATTTAGAACAAGTACTGCATCATTTCGTTCGTCAAATACAAGTATGAGTTCATCGACTTCCAATCTATTCGGTAATAATACTGGACTAACACCGAAACAAAAATCTTCAACACTTCCAAATCGTGCTAAGTGAACGAATATTGTGTTCTTTTTTTTTTTTTTTTTTTTTTTTATTCAAGTATTTTATTAACCGGTCCCTATCTTTGTATATGTATATATAAATATTGATTTGCACACATCAAATAAAAATGAATCAAATAATATGCGTGTGTGAATTTGTTTAATTTTGCTTTGTTTTCCTTCTTCTTCTTCTTTTTTTCTTTTGGTGCTGTATGCGTGGTTCTTTCTTTTTTTTTCTTGTTTTGCTATTTTTATATGATAAGATCGTCATTAGACAAAACTTATCGTTGGAGAATGATTTGTTTTGTAGACGATTTAAGCATTATTTACGTTCATATTCACTCATCTCTTTATATGTGTGTGTTTTATTTGTTTGTTTTTGGATGTTTATATATGACGAAAATAGTAGTTTTCGTTATAATATGGTTTTGTTTTGTTTTTTTTCATTTGTTCGTTATTATACGATGAACGATCTCGCTTGTATTAGTCGAAGAAAATAAAAATAAATGAAAAAGTATATTAATTAAATTTTGAATCTTATTTAAAAATGACTCAAGTTAATAGAACATATGAATTGAGATTTTTCTCTATATTCATAATAAACTGTGGTAAGTCACTAGAAAGTTGAAGTATTCTATTCTATCAATTACGTTCATCGTATTACATCAGGAAAAAAGAAAAAGAAAAGTCTTATAATAATCTAAAGATAAGGATGAAATACTTGCTTATTATATTTTCAATTTAAATAATTTTTTCAGAGAAAATATTAATTATATTCTAGAAAATGAAAGAGCTTCTTTAGCATTAATGAAAAAAAAAAAATATTTTTTTCACTTTCAACAATTGAATTTTAATGGTTTGTATATATTTTTACTTTTCTCGTTGAAAACTATTATAGACTTATTTTAGGTGTCATATTATTTTTCATTAATAAGCCGCAAGGAAAATCTGTTCATTGCTATTTTGTTCTATTTTTAGAATAATGATAAGTAGATGTGCATGACAACAGAAGAAATTGTTTAAGGATATGTAAATATATATAAAAAAGAAAAAAAAATGTAGGCGTTTGCCTGTTTTAACTCAACTGTGAAATCATGCTGATAATGATCTTCATTTAAATTATTTCCTTGTTTATGATGAAAAAAAAAAAATATCTCTCTCTTGTTTTTTTGTTTCAAAGATAAAAGATTATTGTAAAATTATTTTAAAATAATCAAGAAGATGAAAAAATTTACTTTATATATATATAGAATTGCTCTTCAATTTCCTACATTTATATTGCGTTTTTTTTTTGTCACCTTGCTCCATACATTTAATTGAACTAATGAAATATCATTCATGCAATGTGCTGCGCACATTAATATCAAGGTTGACTTTCTAAAAACAGAAATTGAATAATTTACTTGCGTTCTTTCTTTTTCTTTCCGTAGTCAACTATGCCAGTGAATATTAATATATGTCAATATATTTTTAACAACGAATGTCAAAAGATTTTTCTTATTCTATCACTATCTGTCATTGAAGATATGTATGGCAAAGTGACATATATATATACACAAAATATACTTACAATCTATTTTGATTTTAATCGGGTTTGTCCTCGTAATGCTATGTCATGAAATTTTTTCTTTCATTCTAATTGAATCGATTTTTGTACAATAGATACAATGTGTAGTTTCGTTAATCCTTTTTTCACACCTAACATATGTGAGAAAGTGATCATTATGCTTGAGGGCTTTCATTTATTTTCTCTGTGTCATTTTTATCTTCAACGATAACAATAAAAAAAAGAATAAGTCATAACTATTCGCAAAAAACAATAAAAAAAAAACACACATCTGTTGTCTGTCTATATATATATAAACTAATATCATATCATGTGTAGTAATCATCATCGTACGTGTTATATATATGTATTAAGTAGAACAAGATATTAGTCTAAGCAAACAGGAAGTTTGATAAAAAAAGAAAAGACAAGGATTTAATGAAATTAATATTTTTCTTTTTTGTAAAAATAGAAAATTGTTTGTTGATGTCTTCTTCTCCTTTTTGTTTTAGTATTAAATAAATACTTGAAAATTTTATAAAATTGATGTTATTTAAGGCTTCTTTTGTTATTTTAAGCATCATTATTTTAATACGTAAAATAAAGTAGTAATCAGCTTTCTTCTTTTGGTCATCATCTTACATTTGTTTGTCTTTACTTTATCAAAATATCTCAAGTAACGATCGAACTAATTACCCTTTTCTTCTCTCTCTCACTCTCTTTTATAGACTATGTAATAGATTATTATCATTAGAATTATTTTTCTCATATGTTTTATGGCATTTCCTATCGGTTACTGATCGAGTGATATATCCATAAGCACGAGCACGTGTTTCTCTATGTCCCTTAATCTATCACTTTCTTCTCATATGCACTTCACGAGATATATAGAAAAAACTTCAGCGAATAGTCTTATGACGGCAAACTACAGCAAATCATTGAGCGGGTATCGTGTATTGCCCGGGTAAAAAAACGAAGAATAGAGAGAAGAAAAAAAAAAAAAGAACGAGAAAAAGAAAAAAAAAATGAAGCAAGCAAAAGAAGAAGAGAAGAGTACACCACGATTGACGCTGATATAAATGGCAAGCGCACTGTTCTATTTAGCTTTTATTTCTATCGTGCGCGCCGCACGGCAACTAACAAAAGTGTGTGTGTGTTGTGAGTGAGTGAAAGAAGAGAAGAAAAAAACATAAGACAAAAAAAAAAAAAGAAGAAGAAGAAGAAAGATCGTCTATCAGTTAACAAATATTTGATGGGACTAAATTTATTCGATAACAAAAATTTAATTGATTAAATTTATTTATTATTCAAAATTATTTTCAAAGGAAAAAAAAAGCCAATCAACAATGGACGCCATATTCACATTTGTAAGTTATTTTTATTTTTTTTTTGATCGAAACAAAAAAAAAAAAAAAGAAAGATTAGTAAGCTGTCATAAAACAATCACAATGGTCAGATTTAAGCTCTTCGATCCATATGAACTTTGAAGGATCAGACTGGATTGTATGTATACATTTAGAGTGAAGAAGAATTGAATGCAGTTGCTGTTCATTCATATGACGATTCATCGAATAGTAGTCCATCAACATCAACTATGTTGAACACAACTATTGAAAATATTGGTCGAACACAAATAAAACGACCAACATCATTAAATGTATTAAAACCAACAGGTAGATAAGAATCCAAAACCCCCCTCCCTTCGTTCTCTTCAATAACAGATGTTTTTTATTCTGTTTTATTCAAAAAAAAACAAATAGAACTTATTTTACGTGATTCAACAAATGGTGGATGTAAATCAGAAGGTTCGCCGATAAATAGCGTGCAAAAAAGACAACAAAAAAAGAAAAAACGTCGAACAGCTAATTCATATTCGGATATATCATTTAATGATAAATATAAATTAACTGAAGAATTACTTGGAACCGGTGCACACGGGTAAAAAAAAAGAAAAATAAACTTTATATAATCAAAAAACAAAGATTTATTTGTTTTTTATTTCTTAGAATTGTTAAAACGTGTCGCGATCGAGTAACAAAACAAGAATATGCCGTAAAAGTATGTTGATTATCACGCTCTTTCTAGATAAACTTTTTTTTTTTTTTGACCCCTTGTTTTCATATATGACGAATGGAATGTGCAAGTTAACAGAAACAAAATGACAGAGGGCAAAGAACGAGCGACCCCGGATATAAATCTACAGAAACATAAGAACACGACAGAAAGAAAGAAAAAAAAAGAAAAGAGAGAATTCTACGTAGAAAGTAGCAGATAATGTTGACAGATTGAACAAAAATATTTGTAGAAAAGATAAAGAGATATTAAAAAAAAAAGAAAAGAAAAATTAAATATTTTTTTTAAATTTAGATAATAAGTAAAGCTCGTCATCCAAATCGAACACGTGTATTTAAAGAAATTGATATATATTATCATTGTCGTGGTTGTGAAAATATTTTAAGCATTATTGATTTTCTTGAGGATGATGATTATTTTTATCTTGTCTTTCAAAAAATGGAAGGCGGTAAATAATCTAAACATAAAAGACAAAAAAAAAAATTTTATTTATTGTTTTAGGGCCATTACTCAATCATATAATGAAACGTAGCCGTTTAACGGAACGTGAAGCTAGTTTAATCGTACGTGATATTGCTAATGGTCTTAATTTTCTTCATTCAAAGGGCATGTGTCATAGGTTTGTATATGAAAAAAAAATAAACATTATTATTTATTATGAAAATTTTCTTTAGGGACTTAAAACCGGAAAATATCTTAGTTGAACGTGCTGATTCTATAGTACCAATAAAATTATGTGATTTTGATTTGGGCTCAGCTATTCGTCTTAATAGTAATAAAACAACACCAATAACAACACCAGAATTATCAACACCTGTAAACAAAAAAACAGAAAAAGAAATTTAATACAGAAAACAAAAATGTTTTTTTTTTGTCATAGGTTGGTTCAGTTGAATTTATGGCACCAGAAGTTGTTGATGCATGGACAAGTCTTGAAGGTTCATTACAAATATATGATAAACGTTGTGATTTATGGTCACTTGGTGTTATTATATATATAATGTTATCGGGTTATCCACCATTTTATGGTACATGTGGACATATATGTGGTTGGACAAAAGGTGAAGAATGTGAAAAATGTCAAAATTTATTATTTGAACGTATACAAGATGGTGAATTTGATTTTCCTGATAAAGATTGGAAATATATATCAGATGAAGCAAAAGATTTAATAAAACATTTATTAGTACGTGATGCATCATTACGTTTAACAGCAGCTGAAGTTCTTCAACATTCTTGGGTAAAAAATAGTCATGAATTAAATGAACAACCTTTGAATACACCTACACTTTTACAAGGGTAATTTATTTTATGAGAAAAAGTAATTTCATAAGAGAATAATTTTTTTTTATTTTCTATTTTAGTCATAATAGTATTCGTCGTTTAGAATCTTTTACAAAAGATGCATTAAGTATAACAAAAATGATTGATGAACGTGAACGTATGATGTATCATCGATCACGTAGTATTGATAGTATACATCAACGAAGTCGAAAATCATCATTTAATGAAAATTATCAAGAAAATAATCATAATAATAATAGTGATGATGATTATGATGATGATGATTATAATGAATCTGATTCAAGTGTTACACGTATATTAAAACGACGTATGAAAAAGAAAAAACGACAACAAAATAAAATACAATCAAATAATAATAATAATGATAATCAAAATTTTGATATTTTAAGACGACGATTATCAAGGTAAATTTATTTAACTAAAAAATATTCAATAGAATGTCAGTACACAAAAAAAATCTATATATATATATAGATCTGATGTTAAGAGAAAATAGTGGCAATCAATTTTGTTTTTTTTTTGTCTAAAGAAGTGTCGGTGCATGTAAAACTGCTTTTAACATGATAAAAGAGAATGAAAATAACAGGCAAAGAAATGTTTAAAAATAGAAACACATAAAAAAAAATAAGTAATATATATATATTTTTTTTCTTTTAGTGCCACAATGACATCGGGTGATGAAGATGATTTTTTAGCCTGTAGTTATAAAACAGTTATTCATCGTCCAACACCAGTAACATTACCACAAGCACAGCCACAACCACCACCACCACCATCACCACATTTTTATTTAGCTCCGATAGAAAATTCAACTCAAACACCAACACAACCAGAAATCTTAACACTTACACCATCACCAATAATTCCAGTTCCAACAAGTCCATTATCTGTTTTTATGCTTCCATCCCCAACTGTTAATTTACCAATACATCATAGAGCTCATACAGATACAGATCTTGTTTTTTACAATCAACAACCTCTTCTTTATCCTATTCATTGGTATCCATCACCGGCATTTTTTTATCCTAATCAAAATCCTTTACCAACAAATTTTCTATATGGTCCTGTACCATCATTTGTCATGCATCCCATACATCAACAACAAGTTCGAAGTTCATCAGCTGATTGTCGTCGTACGGCAAATAACGGTAGTGAACATCGTGTTTTATATCCTGAACGAGTTTGGTAGTCATAGAAAAGAAAAATAAAAAAAGAAATCTTTAACAATATATCTTTTGTTTATTTGTCTTACTTTTATATACTTTTTTTTCCTCCCCATATAAACACACACACACACACCTATATATATATATATTAGAAGAACGTTCTTTGTTATATGTATACCTTGAGTAGGATAGATTATTTATCTTACCCAGTGATGAGTTCTATTCTTTTTTTGTTTTCTTCTACTTTCTTTCACTTTTTTTTCTTTCTCCTTGTCCGTTCTACGCATTATTTCGATCTGGTTTTCAGTATTGTTATTCTTCATATGTTTTGTTTTGTGTTTTCCTATCTTGTGAACATCAGGGTAGTCGTGATGCGTTTAACGCAGTTGAAAGCTGGGTTGTACACTTGAAATAAGGAGGTGAATTAAACTTAATTTGAGCCGTTAAGTCTCAAATTCAAATCATTTCTTCTAATGTGTCTCTCATTCATTCTGTAATGCGCACTCCGACATTTAATATATATATTTGTTATAGTCTTGTTCCATTTTCTATTGTATATATATTTAATATCGTTGCCATTGTTGTGCCATTTCATGTTCGTGCTTGAAGCATCAAAATCTAGTTAGGCAGCGATGATATGATATTTTTCATAATGTATATAATTATGTTTCTTGATTATTGCGAAGCATCACACATTCATAAATTTGTGAATATCTACTCATTTTTTTTTTCGTCTTGTTTTCACCTATACCGGTCTCTCTTGATCTTCTTCTTCTTCTTTCTTTTTTTTTTTTGTTATCAACTTGTATTGATGTTCTTTTCTTTTTCCTATGTCTGAGATGAATTTTGAAGCAGACAGATATGTGTTGTTGTGCGTAATGATGACCAAAGGGCATGTGCGACATACCTTTCATTTGTATTCATTCTTTTTTTCTTGTGCTCTTCAATATCTATTCTTCTTCGTCTTTTTTTTTTTTGTAAGTAGATTATTCGAGTTATTTCATGTCTAACATAAGAATATGAGGAAAGAACTTATTATAGAGAGACAGATAAGTAAATGGGATTCTTCTTATATTATTATTTAGTATAAGTTAATATTTAAAGAAAAAATAAAGAAATAAAATATGAATTAAAAAATATAAAATTTTCTGTAGTTTTTTTTTTGTCTGAATACTTTATTTGCATCATTTACGACATTTATTGCAATGTCTTTTTATTTTTATTACAATTGAATTAATGAAGTGAATAGAACGAACAAAAGAAAAAAAATATTTGATTAATCAAAATCGATTAGTTTCAAAAAAAGAAAATATCAATAATTTGATGAAGTATAAGGTTGCATTGACCTACTTTCATTATTGTAAAGTGTATATTAGATATGTAATTGCAAAACAAGATGCTGACGTTATCTAATATTTATCTAGAATAACATTCGCAATATGTTATATTGCGTCGATAGCATTTTATCGTTCTCAAGGGTTAAAAGAGTAGAATATTTTGTTTTCGTAAAACACTTTCGATAAGAATTTATCGAATATGATATAGAATCTAATCAAAGAAGGGTTTTGTTGATTTTGATGGTTTTAATATTGGTAAATATATGAAGAAAAAAAAAACATTTTGCATCATAATTTTGTTGTCAATGACCTCGTTGATTTACGACAGAAATGAAGTAATAAATCTTGAGATTATTGCTCACACATAGAAGATATATTATTGTCGTAAATGTAATGAGAATATTGCTTGAGTATGTTAAGATTTGGTAATTTGATTCGATCTCTTATTCTAAAAATATTTCATATTATATCTTTTGAAGAAGAAAAAAACAAGAAGAACGTTTTTTTTTCTTGTGTACTATCGAAATACCACATAGTAATTAAAAAACAACTGACAATTATCAAGTTTAGTAAAAGTTGACATACATATCATATACATCAAATTAAGAAAAGTTCTCATAACTATTAGTTACAAAATAGAAAAAAACAAATACAACTAAGCAATTTTTCAATGATTAACTTCTATTGTTTATTACCTTTTTATTACTTCTATCAAATAATATACTTCACATTGAATTAAGATTTTTTTGTTTTGATGTAATAAACATTATGTATATTGAAGTATGATTATTTATTAACTATGATACAAATCAAAAAAGAAAAAAATGCATATAGTTGGTTTGTAATATCATATCATGTTAATTTATCATTTATTTTATGTCGTAAACAAAAAACAAAACTTCAATGTAAATCACATTCGACATGTTTATCGCAAAAAAACACAATTAATGTTGTTTTTTTGTCTCTTGTTTCTTTCCAAACAAAAACAAAAAAAGAACTAGGTCAAATAACATCCAGTCCTGTTTGAGAAGAAAGCAAAAAAAAAAGAAGACACCGGTTAACTAATCGGCATGTTTTTACGACGAACAATCGGTACATTATTCTTCATTTGCGCACAACAAAAATAAAGTTCATATCGCAATCAAAAATGATTCAATATGTCAATATGAAAAAAAACACACATTAAATCTATTGATTTATTTTATTTCTTTCACGTAATGTGTATTTTGACAACTCCTTAAATTAAAGTTGAATGTTAATGTTTGGCATATGATTGACATCTCGTATTTTTGATAATATCTTCTTTTTTTTTCAATTAATATTAAATTGTTAGAAAATAATGAAATTATTATTATTATTATCATAATTGAAATAGTTTATAAAATAATAATCGATTAAAATTAATAAATCATTCTGTAATATTCTGTTCTATCAAGCAGCAAAATAGAGTCAATCTCTACTGACTAACATTGCATATCAGAACAGAATGAAGAGTCATGTTCTATTGAAATCGTTCCAACCTTTGGTCTTTCATACAATTATTACAAGATGAAGAAAAAATAGGACACAACGCATTACGATTCAATAGTCGGCGCGTGCAGCAAAATAGAAAAATAAACTATTCGAATCATAGCTATACAGGATCATGGTAACCCTCTGGGTTATCAACCAAAGATAAACATACGTAAAATAGAGAGGTGGTTGCTTTGTGTTACTTACCTCAGGAGTTTAAACTTATATTATAAGTGATTACATTAGTTTCAAGAGATGATCCAGTCCTTGAAACATATATTTATTATCAGTAACCAAAACATTAATATTCTATACAATCGATGTGATAATAACTTTATCAATGCATCGGAAATTTAATAATTAGGATATGGATGAGAAAAAACTTCCACATTCTTGTTCTCATATTGTGACTATTTCATTTTCTCACATATATTAAATAAAGATTGATGTTTTAAAAATTTAATCATATATTTACCATCTATATTTTTCTTGGTTTTTTTTGAATGACAAGTCATCGAGTGAATAGAAATTAATTTATCTTTATTAAGAAAAATTTTACGGTACCAATGTACACCCACCATTTTCTGTATGATTCTTTAATGATAATAGTACATCCGTCCCAATCATGAATATTAGATCAAATTTCTATATTGCATTTTATTACATTCACAAGAAGAAAACGTTTTTTCATATTAATCTAGCTGAAATCATTTTTTCTCCATTGATATAATAAAAGTACAATCATATGTCAATATCATGATTTGTATTATTCATATTGATTGAGGATAATATAGTAATTGATAGCGAAGATTTATCGAACTATTAATTTTCAATTGTATATAAAATCAGTATGCAATCTGCATTGTTTCGATTTAAAATAGTATTGACTCCAATAGCAAGTCAAAAACTGTTATCATGATGATAGTTAGAAGTATGATCATTATTTTTGTTATATTGTTTTCACAATTGTCTAGAAGTTATGCACAAACTAATCAATGCACACCAACAGCAATAGCTACATGTGGTTCATTTCCATGTATTCAAACAGGTGATGCTTATGCATGTCTGTGTGCAGACATGACAGTAAAACCAAGTGCAGCAGAATGTACTGGTGGTACAGTTGCAACTACTCAATCACCAATCGTAATTCCAAATGAATGTGCTAATGCTGTTTGTCCTGCTGGTGCTACATGTATACCAACAAATCAAAATCCATCACAATATATATGTCTTTGTTCAAATAATATTATTGCAAATCCTGATTGTCCAACAACTCCATTACCGAATAATCCATGTTTGATTAATAACCCATGTTCAAATGGGGCAACTTGTGTTGTCAATCCATTAAATCTTCAACCAGTTTGTCTTTGTCCATCAAATACTTATGGACCCAATTGTCGTCATGCATGTCGTCCAACATGTGATTCTAGTTGGTAAGAGTACTCAAAAAAAAACAAACAAAAGAAATTCTTTATATATTAGTTTTTGTTCTTATATATTGAAGGTGCTATAATGGTGGTCGATGTGTTAATACACGTGGACATCCATATTGCCTCTGTGGACGACAATATCGTGGTCGACGATGTGAACTTCGATATGACAAGTATAATTATGTTTATTTTCATCATCATCATTCACGTTGGTAAAGAATTAATATCGTTTTTTCTCAATCGAGAAATGGTTTTATTTAATAAATCAAAATAAATAAAACAATGCATGTTTAAAAAGTATTAAAATATTTAATTTATAAAACAACTTCGAAATCTAATATAATATATTATTGAAAATAATTTATCTTAGCTAAAAAATAAGATCGTAGACATAAGAGTTCTATTGAATGATACACGAAAAATCTTCATTCATATATACTTGTGATGAATTAAAAGAATGTATTAATAAACGAAAAAAAAAATGTTGATTATTTGGTTTGAAGAATCAAACAAAAGGCAAAAATATATTCAGTTCTTAAAATACAAATTTCTTTTGTAGTACTTATCATGATCTTTCTAATAAAAAAATTAACTTTTCATCTGTTGAAATAGCTGAGCTGCTTTTATATCGTTTACTAATTAAAAGGCAACAGTCTAATTCTTACATAACGATTTATCAACTGTATGGAATTATTCATTTTTTGTATAGGTTTTTGTTCAGTTAACTTTATGAAAGTTCCACATGACATAAAGTATTTTTGTCAGTATGTTATTGTATACATAATTTTGTTTTTTTTGTTTTTGCAACAATTAATTTATGATCATCCTCTTGAAATGCATAAATGTAAAATTAATAAATATTTAAAAAGAAAGTATCATAGAATTACTTGTCGTACCATTTGAGAGTGTGGGTGTGAGAGAACATAATACAAAGACATCCACATCCTCTGTTTATTTAGACTGAAGACGGCAGGTGTCTCGCTGACTTCTCAGGACTATGACTTTCGTTTGATACAATTAGAATGGATTATATACTATTCATAGATAAAGTTGTTGATTTAAATGAACCTAATAAACTTGAACTACTTAGGTGGTATGAAATATGAACCTTGAGTTTCGAAACAAAAAAAAATTATATCTCAGAAATAAAAAGTCACTGTTTTTTCTATCTCTTACGAATCATTTTTCTACTAGAGATGGTGTGAGTGTGCATTTCAGTGAAAACAAGACCGACATCCAATATCCTGTCTTTGTCCAAAATAAATCAACAGGTTTTTCGTCTTCAATTTTTTTGTTCCGGTACGATTACAGACAGTAGCGTGTGGGTCTGAGTGTTGCGGATGAACGTCTTCGTACTCTATTTTCTCATACCCACACTCACACTCTCCAATATGTCGAGCAAGATATTATCATCTCGCTGCTGTTTTCGAGTGTAAAACGCAACGAACAAAGTTAACTTCGTTCATCACTTGCAATATTGACCGAATAATTGAAATTCGTCATTTACAATCTGAAAAGAGGAAATTATCGACAAACAACTATTGCTTGTCCCCACAATCACAGCTATTACTCTTTTACTTTTCTCATGGCAGTGAGCTGCAAACTTCTACTATGATATATGACTAAATGATTAACTGCATTTCGATGATATTGACATTGTCAGTCTTTTGATAAACATATGGATTAGAACATATAAAAACATCTCGGAGAAGGAGAAGGGCAAAGTTTTCACACTAATAATTACATGTATGAGCATGGCCGATAATTGAAATCATAGACTTGGTCCAAGGACATATGGAGAACTGGTGTTAGACAGGAGGTTCAAGTCATTTTTCATATTACATGAAGTGAAAATTTTGCAAAAAAAAAAAGAATTGATTTTCGGATTCCGACTTCGTGAAATTTTAACTTGAAAATCGTTTGCTCTGAGACAAAGATTTTGTCGTACCACTTTTGACACAATAGTAGAAAGTTGTTGCCTTTTGAAAACAGGTTTTTTTCAACCGATTACATTCTCTATCGAAAGACATGGCTCTCTGGCAAAAGTTTATTCAAAAATTACAGTGCAATTCAATTTCGAATTCTAAATTTTCTTTGTTTCTATGCACATCTAGTTGGTCATCATTGGCTGCATAATTAATAGGTAATGAAACAGTTGATAAGTCGAAAGTCAACTGCATTAGAAGTAAGTAAAAAAAGAAATTTGTTTAGCTTTCGACCGAAATTAATAGACTAATGTTCATCATTCAATGACAACTGAATGCGAACAACTCATTTTCAAAAGTAGCTTCAGTCATATCGAAAAGTTTCTAAGACTTGAGATCAACCGCCCCACTTCTCTCTACTTGGAAGACCCCTGGATTCAAGGAGACAACTCTGCAATGTCACTAATTGGTTTTTGCTTTAGATAGAATTTCGTCATTTCCATTTATTTATTATTTTTTGAATGAGTAACTGAAGTGTAATACATTAAAAGAACTACGCATTTGTATATTGTGCTATTTTTCTTCATCGTAATACTTCGCGTGCGACGTTGAGTAAAAATAGAAAAATGCCAAAAGCAACGCAATTCAGAAAAAAAGATGAAATGACTCATTTTTCTCATTTTTACAAGGAAAATGATGAAAAGAGCTTAATCACTGCAGTTTGATCTCTTTATAATGTGAAATAGTATCAATCGTGAAAAGGCAAAAAATAGTTTGATTCTATTTGTCATTAAAATCTCGAATCTAGGATAGGTTAAAAATTTCAACGAAACTTTCACTTCGGTTTTAAGTTCAAAGACTGTTTCGAGTATCGTCAAATATGCGAAGAAGGTCTTGTATAGATGTTCGATTATTGGTCTCATATTCAATTCTAGAATCAAGTTACATCTTCATTAGTAGATCTGTCAAATAATTGAACATATTTTAGTAAAATATTCAACTAAAAACTGTCTCTAAGTGATCCAAATATCTATAATTTGATCGGTTAAATAATCAGTTTCAACTTTCGAGTCTTTGCTGAATAAAATATCTGAAGTGGTAGTTTTTTGTGGGGTGGATATGAGTGTGGGATTCTCACCCACAGTCTCAATGGCAAGATTTTCTTTCCGATTAAAATTCAGATAACCCTCTTTTTTTTAATATCATTCATTAATGAATGACGATTCAACTGGATTTTGAAAACATCTCATCCCTGGAAAAAGTCGTCTTCCATAGTATAAATAATCGATTTCTGTCTGACTTATTACGAGAAAATTCTTGCGGATCTCATCTACGTCTATTGTACGATTACGAACTGGTAGTGAACTATGTCGGAATGTATCAAAAGTTTCTAAAGCTTTCTAAATTCAAATTGAACGAATTAATCCAAATAGATTAAATAACTAGCAATACGGTAACTAGAAACTAACTTTTAAAGTTTAGGTTTGTTTTGGAATATTGATAAGTTAATTTTAGAGATTGACCAAAATTCTTTCAGGACTTTCTACTCTGTGCAAAGAGTCATCCGAATCGTGAACTGACCAAAAGTCAGCCTCAAAAATTCCGTAGGAGAAATTTCAGACTACTGGTTCTGACTTTGATTTTCACAAATTTGTTTCCGATCAAAGCTCTTTCATGATTACTCTCAGTTGTATTAAAATTTTCAAAGAAGGCTTTTTGTCATGTTTTTAATATGTGGCCGCGTTGCATTAGCATCTATAAAATATCTGAATGTTGGTTTCATATGTCTTCAACAACTAGAATCGACGAATGTAGTGAGAGAAGAAACTAGATAGACTATTCACTACGACTTGGTACTAATTATATAAAATTCAAAGTAACTTCTTTTGCTATTAGATTCTTCCTCGTAATTTACTCACCAACAGCAAGTACTGAAATTCGCAATATTATGGGTAAATCGAATAAAATGTTGTGATTGATTGGAGTTTTTTTTGTGTCGTACACCGTTTGCGCTTTTTCTCAAATGACTTGTTTCTTTCTTTTGCAGCAGAATCACGATTTTTATTCAATCTTTGTTTGCTTTGCCTCCTTTTTTTCGTTTTCTCTAAATTTTGGTCAAATGTACACACCGTTAAGAAGGTTTGTACCTAGCAACAGTAGAACATTTACGAAAAGTGTGGATGCAGAGTGAAACCAAGGAAAAAAAAGAAAATCATGTTTGTTCAATAAAATGACGAGTGATGCGACACTTTATTGTATATTTCTGCTTTTTTTTAGATGTCTACATCTTTATTTAACTATAACCAAAACAAGAAAACAAAACATACAGTAAAATGGCTGGGTGTGGATGTGTAGGTGGGTTGTGTGATGTGTGGATGGCCGTGAAGAGGAGACTCACACCAATGCACCCAAACTCACACTCCAAACCACACTCACACTCTATCGCAGTGGAGGTCATCACAGTCAACTCTATGTCCTGATTTTTTGACTTGTTTCTTGTTTACTCTAGAGAAATGTAGCATGGTATGCATATATATGCCACCTAAGTTCATGCTGACACAAAAGTCTTAGTATTATTTTTAATTTAATGCACACAACACCCTTAATCATGAGCATTTCAAACACGATATTTATTGAGCATCTATTTAAAAAGAAGTAACACGAAAAGAAATGTATTGTTTTAATCAATAAAATATTAAATGACTAGAAACTCAATGAATATTTTCACAAAATAAATCAGATTTCAAATATTCATTTTGTTTAAAATAAGTAATTTTTCTCAAAATTATGATAAAGAAGATTTTGGATAAGTATTCAATATGTATACAGAAGAATTGTGAAAATTAGTAATTGTTTCTGAACTGAACTAATAAATCATCATCAGGAGCAGGGTATGGGTGTGGGTATGGGTGTGTGTGTGGCTGTGACTGTGAAGAAAACAAACAGCCACATCCACATCTCACACCCACACTACACACACCCACACCCTTAAAATGCCTGAAAAAATTTCTGTGTATATCTTGTCTAATAATGCATAGTAGGCTGCTTGGGAATCGAATTTGATGAAAAATATCCTTACCAGAAGGAGCTTGATATTTATGGTATGGGATTGATGAAGGCCTATGGGCCGTTAGGATTCTGATATTTGGAATCAGCGCAAAAAACTGCATACAGTTATGTAGGTTTCCATGAAAAAGCGATTGATCACTTGGGGGATCTTCCTCGTTAGACAAACGCGATTTGATTTCTTATCTATCACTAGAACTCAAATCATTTCTTTCGTCAAAAATTAATTGTATGAATAATTTTGAGGCAGATCAAAATTTTACTATACTTATTATTTTGTCATCAATAAATATTCTATTGAATCGATGCTTTTAGAGTAGATAGCTTGAGTACTCAGTTACATTTTGGTGCAGATCTCAACTCCATATCGTGAGCTAGAGAGGAGATATGAGGATTGGATTATTATTCATTGATTTCATGAATAATTTTTAAGCACCACTGTATGTACAACAGACGTTAGATCAGTACCAGTACAATAAGTGCCAGTCCAAATACTGTTTACTTAAAAATTGTACTTTGTACTTAAGTACAATGCACTTAAGTAAAAGTACATTCTTCGCTTTACTTCGTATTTTTTTATCGATAAAAATCACTTTCGTAGTCTGACAACATCTGTATTAGAAAGAAGGTGAAAGTTTACGTGCTTATTATTACACTTTTATATCTGTTGGTGTCAAAATCAATATAATTTTCACATTTGAGCATCGAAGAGATTGTACTAACGACTTTCTTTTTACGTTGAGGTTACTTTAGGACTACTGAAATGTATAGCAGATATCTCTGAAAAATAAAGGTGCTCAAAAGAAGTATTTTTGGTTTCGAGTTTGAATAGTTTTTTTCTGAAACCTCTTTCATTTCTAACCAGTAAGATTAGAAGAGCAGTCATCCTATTCCGTAACGTTGAACATTGCGAAATCAGTTCTGCATCCGGAACCAGTTCCATCCAATTCCGGGAACTCGATCGTCATTCACAATCACAGACCTAATAGTCACTGACCGAGTTCCGTCAATTTCCGGAACTTAGTTCAGATGGAATTACTCCGAATTCCCAGCAATTCTGTAATCCTATGGAATTCCGTCGGATTCCGGAATTCTTGGAATTGAGTGGAGATGGAATCCCCATCAACTTCGGAATTGGAAGCCATTCCCGGAATTTCGAAATCGAACGGAGTTCCTAGGAATTCCCAGGAATTCCATCCAATTCCGTGCGATTCCCGCTCGATTCAATCCCCGGAATTACTTACTTATGTCAGAGAATAATCTTCAGTCACAACACTATGAGTGAGGATGAGAGCGGGAAGTAATTCCTGTTCGGAATTCCGGGAATTGAGTCGCGATGGAATTGTACGGAATTTCCGGGAATTCCTAGGAAATCCGGAATTGCTGGGAATTAGGGGTAATTCCGTCTGAACTTAGTTCTGGAAATTCCGGGAATTTGATGAAACTCGGTCAGTGACGAGTAGATCTGTTATATTGAATGATGATCGAGTTCCCGGAATTGGATGGAACTGATTCCGCGCTGTTCAACATCGCGGAATAGGATGTATTCTCAAGCAGAACGATGAATACAAAAAAAAAAGAAAAATCGCTCACTCATAGAGAGAGAGATGGTAAAAACCTATTTTAAATATTTTTCACTGAGAGTTGGGAAGAGGCCTGCAAGAAAATCAGTATGTTCTGCTCAGATTTTCATGCTCTTTCCAATGTAATTTTTATTGAGTCGATACGATATCGAAAATTTCGCAGCGTTGGATGTGACCTCATAAAAGTGGGCATAATTGCCCAGGGCGAGTATTCTGGGTTCCGAATCCTGTCGGAAATCTGGCTTAATCCGATAAATTCCGACGGGAATCTGACAACTTCCGACAGGATCCTTGTCGGAAGTTGTCGGATGTCGGATCTGACAGTCGAAAGATCTTGGAAAGTACAGGATCCGACGGAATCCTACTAGATTTCTGTAGATAAACCAGATATTACGTGCAGTACCCATGCTGCACTCATTAGCTTTTTATTTTTCAATACTTAATATATATTGAGCTGATTAGTCTGATTGGATGGCTGAATTCCTGTTTTATCATACTGTTGCTATAATGTATCAGGTAAATATGATTTATTTATCAGTTATAGTACTTGTATAGCACCCTGCGAGTACTATAACTGGTAAAAAAATCATAGTGACCTGATACATTATAGAAACAGCATGATAAAAATAAAATTCAGCCATCTGGTCAAACTAATCAGTGCCATCCCATTCGATTTAACGTTGTAAATAATCTAAAATAAAAAATAAATTTTTTTAAATAAATTAATACTTACTGTTTGATTTATCATTGGAAACAATCTAAAAATTAAAAATTAAAATAGGCAAAATTAGATGCTTTCATGTCATCGGATCCTATCACCGGAATCCGACAGAATCCGACGATGTCCGACGTCGGAAATTAACGGATAATAAAGGTTTCCGACTGTCGGAAAGTGTCGAATAATCACGGATCCGATAGGATCCGGCAGGGTGAGTTTGACCTGGGTGATCACATCTGATATCATCATCATGCTTCTGTGACAATAAAATATTTTCTTCAGTATCACTATCATTATATACAACATTTTGACGACTAGTTTTTTTCAATACAGAAAAATCATCTCTGTTATTTGAAATATTTAATCTAGATTCATCACTTTGTTTATTTATTTTTTTTTTTTGAAATTATCATATAAATATCTGATAACAGCGCTTCTTTCCATCAAACCAAGAAAAATGCTGTTCAGAATATATTAAGTGACGGCTAAAATTAAACATTATTCAATATCCTCTTGCCATTTGATATCATTAATAACCTATGAACATGGAAAAAAACGAGCTGCATCATCACATGCTTTTTTTTTCTTTCTCATTGGTTATTTGACAAGGTATTACCATTGTGCTTTTGATTAGTATGATTTGCATTTTTATGACATTTAGAATGATCATTTATGCCATTATCTTATTATTTTAATCTGTAATCAACGAAAAACGCAATAATGTGCGCCATATGAATAGATTATCTATTGATAAAAACAAGACGATTGTTTTGCGTTAAAGATTATAATGCAAGGGCCTATTGCGATTTATTAGTTTTTTTTTTTTAATTGACTAAATTTTCTTCAAGATTCCGGATTATTTTCGATGTCATATGCTCTAAAAACATTATATTTTTTATTAGATAAATGGGAAGGATTGGGTCTTAACTTTCCTTTGAAGAATGTCTATTCCAAAATGTCCTCAACTTATTATCCTAATAGAACAAAAATTACATGTATACGCAACAAAAACAGTACAAAATAGATTTCTGGTATTAACATAAACATATAACTATAATATAACATGTGTCGGTATAATCTTGTAATAAATGAGTAATCATTGATAAAAGATACGATATATAACTAAATTTATAAATACTCAAGATTATTTATTCTGTCACATAATAATAATAAATTTGTTGGAAGAACAAAAAATCCCGAATATATGTTTTTGTTTTTTTTTGTTAACAATAATAAAAAGAACATTTTTTTTTAGGAATCATCTCTTCCACATTCGTCATAATAATTTCATCAAAATTGTGTGCCATCTGATCGTAATTTATTTGAGAAGTAGTCTTAAAAAAGAAAATGTGTTAATGAAAAGTTCTAGAAAATTTTAGTCATGCTTTTCTTTCTCATTTTTTAGAATATTATCATGTTTTTAATATGAATGAATACGTACTATTTTTGTTTTTTTGTTTATTCTATACTTATCTAAATAAATCTAATAGACGTCTACATTTAACTGTATATAGAAATCGAAACAATCAATCACAGTGTATAGTTTTATTCATCCATACCTGTGTAAACAAAAGTATTGATATGATCGCTGATGTCAATCAAGGCAAAGTCATGACTGAAGAGTTGATTAATACGCTAAATGTGTCCATGCAAGCAGAAAGAATAGCTAAATAGTGATCACTCTTACCTTCGAGTATATATATAAACAAAATCCTAACTATAATTTAATAGTTTGTTTATTGACAAATTCAACATTATACGAATATGCAATCTTATAAAAACTTAACAATGATATGACATTATAAATAGCATTTTCTTTTTTTTTAATCATTGAACATTATATTTATATTATTATTTTAGATCTTTTTCTTCAAACTTATTTTAAATATTTTACAAGAAGGACAAATAAAAATGAAATTATCATTTTGTCATTTATTTCTATTTTTATTCATAATAATAAATGTCTTTCAATGTCAAAATTGCCATAATTTATTCAAAAATAAATATAACATTCATGAACAATTATACAAAGCCACACAACGAATGTTATCATCATTACAATATCCAATCTGTGCTCAAATTTTATTAAATCAAAATGGTATACAATCTAAATATATATCTTCACGTGGTTTATCTGGTCGTGTTATACCAGCTGGAACCTTTCCAAACAAAATTTTAGCTTTAGAATATTTATATGGACTTCAATGTCCAATACCCAATTTACCACCGCGACCATATACTATTCAAAGCGTTGAGTTAGTACATATCGCTTATGATGATCGATATTTGATCACTCAAAATGAAATAATAGTTCATTTAACTGGTAATAAACGATTAACTGTTTTTACAAATATGGCTTTTGATAAAGATTATAAATTATGTGGCTATGAGGGACAAATACGAAATTTTGGATTAACATTTGATCCATCTACAAATATTGAACGTCAAGGAATAATATATCTCATATGTAATATTACACAAACATTTTGTAATGGACCATTAAAACAATATTCAAGTGTGAATAAATGTATACAATATTTAACGACAAGTGTACCTTATGGTTCATACGATAGAGGAGACCAAGGAAATGTTGCTTGCCGCACAATTCATGCATATTTTGTTCCTTTATTACCATCTGTACACTGTCCACATGTTGGTCCAACTGGAGGAGGAGCATGTACTGATAAAACAATTAACTTTTATTATAATCAACCAAATTTTCTTAAATGTGCCCATAAACAATAATAAAAACATAAATACATGTTCTTTCTTTTTTAACTTAATATTTCAATAATAAATTGATTCTATTTATAAATAACTGTGCGAAAAATAAGACATGCAGTCATGAGAGAGAAATGTACCCCTCCAAATCGATTCAATTATATGATTGAACTCCTACCTTGCTTTAGTATATTTTCGCGAGACAATAGTTTTCTACTGAAGGTACAATGATATAACTTAACACATGAGCTTCAACGGATGTGGCTCAAATTTTTAGTTTTGAAAAATACTATTTGATCAAATTGTAAGTGGGTGATTTTTTTGATATAACAGGAAAAAAAAGGAAACGCTTATATTCATACTAAAGGTCTTACCTAAACATATAAAAAATGATTCCGTAATTAAAAGAAACTAATTTGAAATGTCTCTCATAGTTCTACTTAATAATAATTATTTCTTACTTCTGTATTAATTTAATACTCGAAAACCTGTTAATATATCTCTTAAAAACTTATAGAAACAACAGAATCTTGAAGTGCGAGGGTGAAGATGATATCTATATCAATATTTAATATATTTATTTTGCAATTGATTAGGATTTTGACAAAGTCCCCATTGAGAAGCCATTATGTTGAAAACAAATGTTGCAGAAACCAATGTCATAGGTAAATTCCAAAGGAACAGCGAAAAAATGTCATTATTCAAGTTTCAATACGAGTCTTTTTCATCTATATATAATTATAGACATGACAATAACATGATTGATGGCGATATCATGGCACAAAACAATTGAAATTTTCAGTTAACTTGAAGAAAGAACAATGAAAAAACCCTTACAGGAGTGTCTTATTATTTGTTTCAAGTTGTTCTTTTTGATTGTTCTATTACGTTGCATATGTAGTAAATTAAGAAGATTCAGAATGAGAATGAAAATATGAAATAAACCAAGTTAACAATGAGTAAATAACGAAGAACGAAAATAACTATGTAAATAATATGAAAAAAAGATTTTACTTTCACTAATGTATGTTTTGTTTGATACTTGTTTTAATAATTCGTCTTGTTTGTGAAAGCTTTGGATGGGGGTGTGAATGTGTGTGCACCGACCCGGACATCCACGCACATTCTGCAGATTCCTAAAATTTCAGAAACATTTCACTGTATCAAACAAAAGTTCAGAAATCGATTTTTGATGAAAGACTGTGGAAACCGAAAAGCTATTCTTGCATGTATCTTCGAATACTAACTCATTTTTTCTACTAATATTAGTGTCCTATAATCCTGTAAGATTTATAAAAATACTATTAGATATATGATAGCAAAAGAGAGATATTCTAAATTACTTTTAGGATGTGGATATTGTTTTATTAGCTAATCACACCCACACCCCGTTCTGAGTTTTTATTGTTTATGATGTTTGTTTTTCTACTAACCACAACGAGACATGTTTATCTATTTCTGAAAATATTCTTTCTGTAACATGTAAGTAAAGAGATCGATATGTTTAATTTGAAACTAACATACTATTATTAAGCACAATAAATAAATAGAAATTGAGGATAAAAATTTTCCACATTGGGAAATCTAAATATACATACGAATACAATCTTATTTCCTAGCAAAGATAAACAAGTTTTAGTTAGAAGTAATACTTTGAAAATATTCCTTCATATTAATATTTCATATTGAAATTTTATTCTTTAAATAATGATTGTTAACAGATATTCTGAATTAGAAACATTTAAGAAAAATAGATCCATTATGATAAATAACAAAGAAAATATTGATGAATTATTAAATATACTTTTCGTTGTTACAATTATTTATCTTTTATTTATCAACAAGATACATATATAAGGGGTCGCGTTCACTTGGCCGACAATCACTTGGCCGACTCATCACTTAACCGACACCACTTCGCCGACAAATTGTTTGGCCGACATGTACACTTCGCCGACAACTCATTTGGCCGACAAATATTTGAGATCAAAAAAATTGAAATTTCTTGAAAATATTGCGTGGATTTTTCCCACTCATTCACCTATAAATAGTGAACATTTTTCAAAATAAAATCAGACGACGATTTTTTATCAGTTAAAACAAGTCTCCCGCTAACAAACTGTTTCCCGTGAGATAAGTTCGATTTTCTTCGTGGCGTTGCCCATAATCTTTCATTGTAAATAAATGTGACTTTTGACAAAAAGATTTTCTGACGCAATATTTTCAAGAAATTTCATTTTATTTTACTTCAAATATTTGTCGGCCAAATGAGTTGTCGGTGAAGTGTACATGTCGGCCAAACAATTTGTCGGCGAAATGGTGTCGGTCAAGTGATGTGTCGGCCAAGTGATTGTCTGCCAAATGACACGGACCCATATATAAGAGTCATAAATTTAATATGAGTTAGTACGTGTAAAATTTCTACTTGATTAAAAAAAAAAGTTAACAAAGGACTCTCGATAAATGTGCGTGTCTTTCATTATTCGATCGTAAAGGGAAGGAAACTCTTTTAAGAATACAAATACTCTTATCTTATGAATAATTTTTTAGCATAAAAATCTTTTTTCATGAATCTAGATCGATTTTCTATCATAATTCGTCTCTTATGTAAATAGGAATGTGCCGTATTTTTGATTAAAGACAGTTGCCATTTACTAGTTAAAAGATAAATTCAATTGTAATTTATTGAAGTCAAGTTATAGCATGAAATTCATTTCTAGAAAGTAATGTCTTTGAATCTACCTACTTCTTTCATTTTATGGTAAATTTCTTGTATTTCTTGTAAATCTCTCATATGTCTATTTTTATAAAGTACAATTCAGAATACAGAAAGTTTTGTCCGAGAAAGGGCGTGGATGTGAATGCTGCAGTGGGTATGATTGAAATAGATGCTGAATATAAAAAAAAAGCAAAATCGAATTTCCTAATAGTTTTATTTATAAATAACCAAATAGTTGAATTTTATTCAATATTTATATTATACAATTGAATATATTCTATTTTATATCTCTGGATGATGATGTTAGTTACTTCCATTGAGTATGTTATTGAGAATCTGTTCTATGATCTGCCTAGAAGCTAGAAAGTTATTTTCCATACCATAGACACTAACGTTTCCAGGTAAACTAAAGTTTGATGAATCGAATTCCAGATCACATCATTGACAATACGTTACTATTACACACAGTTGTGGAAATATCTCTGTCATAGAAGACTATGTATTTCCTGTGCAGGTATAAACTCGTTTAGTAGATCTATTTTGTTGAAAATTTTCCCGTCAACTACAAGTATCATTGTCACGAATTGATCAATGTTGAGACAATCAACCGGTATACCATTGCTCCTAATACTTGTAGATATCAAAATAAAATACTTGAATTAAACAAAGAGTTAAATTATAACATTTTTTTCCTTTTGATTTAACATAGTAAATAGTTTCTTATTGAGTATATAAACATTTTATTGTAATATGTGGTGTGAAAGCACGTAATCTGTATTATCTTCGTAAATATTGTTTATTAAGATTTTGGCATGGAACAATATTATTTGTTATTCATAAATGGGTGTAGGGTGTGGGTGCGTCGGTATGTTCTTATCCACGAATACTCACCTATACCCACTCAAAACTGACAATAGCCAAGATGCACATAAATACAGTACGAAGCAATCTCTAATTTCCAGTTTTAATTATCTCAGATGTAGTACGAAAGTCAAGTCGCCTTTTTGTTGAGTTTACTGAAGATAAAAAAAATCTATTCAGACATTCAAAAAAGTGTGTGTTACCTCAAGATATTGATCCTTCTGATGAAGTTCGACCAAGTCTCAGATGAGTCACTGTTCTCTAACATATTGTGAACGGCTTGTTACAGCGAAGAACACCAGGTACGTAGCTAAATACAGGTAAGTTCTGCTTCACATCTCATGAAATATTATTTACTTTGACTATTTCATTGGTTAAATAAAAGTATATGTTATAGAACGTTAGTAATCTTACATATGATAAAAGCTCGTCTTTAGACAAACTTTGTTTTTATATGTGAGAAAAGATAAAAAGTAAATGGCTACAGTAACAATAACTGAAAGTTTTTTTGGTGTTACAGAAAATGAAAATGAAATAAAAAAGTATATAATAAATAGTTTTCAATGTATTTTTGCTATGCGCAATACTTGTATTTAGATATACTCTTTCAACAGCAGATGGTTTTGAAGTTGCTTTAATTAATTATGGTGCAACAATTCAATCCATTCGACAACTAGATAAACAAAACAAAGTCACAGAAATTACACTTGGTTATGATACTCTTCAAGGTAAACTTAATCAAAAAGAAAAATATAATTCTTATGATGAATTGTTTATTACTTTCGATCATTGCAGAATATATTGATGATACATATTTTTTCGGTTGTACAGTTGGTCGAGTAACAAACCGAATAAAAAATGGTCGTTTTAAATTAGATGGAACTACTTATGAATTATCTAAGAATGATGGTACAAAAAAACATTATTTACATGGTAGTTTTAATAAACGCGTATGGGATAGTTCAATAGAAAATGATGATACTGTTGTCTTTAAATATCGAAGTCCAGATGGTAATCATTTTATATTTGAAATTTCAATTTAAGAAAGAAAACTTTTCTTATTTCGAAAACAAAAGGTGAAGATGGATTTCCAGGTGAAGTTAATGTTATTGTCAAATATGTGTTGACAAGTGATCATCGACTAACACTTGATTTTCATGCAACGACAACAAAATCAACACCAATAAATATGACAAATCATGTTTATTTTAATCTTGCTGGACATGTAAATAATAATGTTTATTATATATTTTAAATATGATACAATCTTTGTTTTGTTTTAGGCAAATGGATCTATACTTGATCATCAACTAATTGTACCAGCTAGTAAATTCCTTCCATCAGATGAAGAATTTATTCCTACGGGTATATTAGTAACAATACATTTGATTAATCTTACTTTTTCTTTTAGGAGAAATAAAATCAGTAGAGAATACTCCGTATGATTTTCAAACATTAACTCGTATTGGTGAACGTATTAATGTATCAGTTGATGGTTATGCTATGATGTTCATCATAGATGGTGAAGGAAAGCGTCCATTTGGCAAGTGAGCCTAATTTTTTTTTAAATTAATGGTAATTCCTTTATTTTCCTGTACTTATTCATCATTAGACTTGTTCATGAGCCAAGCGGTCGAGCAATAACTGTTGAATCAACACAAAATGGTCTTCAATTTTATACAGGAGATTTTCTTGATGGTAGCAAAGGACATGATGGAGTAGCATATAAGAAGCATGGTGCATTATGTTTAGAAACTCAGAATTTTAATGATAGCGTTAATAATCAAGTAAATCTAATTTTTAACATAGATAAATCAATTTTATATTTCTTCTGATTGTTCAGCCTATATTTCCAAGTACTATTCTTCGTCCTGGTGAAGAATATCATGAACAAACAACTTTTCATTTTCATTTGGAATAATCAATTCATTTGAATATTATAGAACAAATGAAACTATCATTATGAATGAATTTAAAACAAGAATAAAATTCAATTTTTTTTAATTACTGATTATCCATTAACTCCAAGCTAGATATAGATTGTTGAATTTCAATGTCTTTTTTCTAAATAAAACTTTATGATGATATTATTATACGAGTTGTTCGAATAGAATAGAAAATATATAGATTTTAACATAAAATTTCAAATAAACGACGTTTAATTTTTAGAAAATTGAAAACTCCCAAATATACTTCATCAAGGAAAACATGTCAAAGATATAAAAATGATCTAAAGATTAAAGCGTAAGGTATATTTAATATTGTTTTTGGACGACTCGCTCTAGTTACAGACAAATTTTTCGTGTCAATCAATCATTCATATGTTAACACGATATGCAAATTCAGCAGCAGATCAACAATATGAAAATTACAACAAACTCATTTGATAGGTGTGGGTGTGTCCGGGTATGCGTCTTTTTTACCACAATACCAATGAACAGCCACAGTCACATCCACCCCCAGATCCTGTGTTTTTCGATTAAAATCATCGAAAAACTGGTTAAAAATTAATAGAAATCTTATGATTATAACCACTTTTAATCTTATTTGAATTTTTTTTTTACATGAACAGATTTGATTCAGATAAAAAGTTGAGCCTATCCTGGACTGAAATCATTCCGCTCTGTCTATAATTCTATATATGTATTTATTAAAATTTCTTTTTGTTCGAAACAGCATGTTAGGCTGGAGAACATGACAGTGCGATTTTTAAAATTTCTTACTTTTCAAACTGCGAAAAGAGATGGTAAACTCAAAAAATGGTAATCGAATTATAAAAATACTCTTTTATATAATAAGAAGTTTAGTGGAAAAAAAGAAACAATAGACTAAAATGAAACTCCTTCGAAATTTCTAGAATGTGCGATGAAAAAAAAACCATAAACAGAGAAAAAACGAAAAAGATTTGTTACTTTTTCTGAAACCAGCATATTTTTTAGGTGTCAAATAAAAAGTCATATTATTCATGAAAGATCTAACCTTGAACTATGTTCCCATGTATTAATTTGAATTTAGATAATTTTGACTAAACATGACTTTTTTTTGACGAGTGTTAATCGGATCTTAAACAAATTACAAGTACTAAGTAAGGAGTTATATATAAAATAGTTGAATAAAATAATATATGACAAAGTTTATATGTCAAAAATTCTGATAATATTCATCATTGCATTTTAATATGAAATTCAGAAAATTTCAGTCAATTCAACTTTGTCTTAATACTCTAATTGATAACAAAAGTATATTTCAGAAGAATCAATCTATTTCGGTAGATATTTCTATTATCATTCTTCTAACTAAATCATGTCATAGCCGTAAATCTATAATTGTTTCAATTTTAGCTATTGAAATGAAATGTCATTGTGATTCATGTGCTAATGATCGTAAACGTATTTGAATGCATTTATTGAATGAAGTTCTTGAATATTTACATATATTATTACTAATTGATTCATCAACAAATAATGATTCAATTCTAGAAGATAAATTAACTAGAAGTGAAATATCTAATAATAATTTATCTATATTAAATTTACACTTTTATAATATGTCTAATCATATAGAACGAAAAACTTTTTTTTTTCTCTCATTTTGAAATATCACAAATAAGATAATTGTCTTCTCCTAAAACTCTCAAATAATCTTTAAATGATATCGCACATGAAATAGTTCTTAAACCTAAATTGAAATGAATACAATCATTTCGATTTGAATCAATAAGTGCTGGTAGTGGAACATTTGCTAAATCATGTGGCCATTCCATATCATTTGTTGAAAATAATTTAACTTCTGAATTAAATTTTAATGGTGGTGGATATGATGTTGATTGAGACATTTTTTCATCAATTAATGTTTTGACATATTGAGAAAATAAAGCACCATATGGTGGAACAGCACCTGGTATACAACCAGTTATTTTTTGTACTTCTTCTTCATTAGCCATACGTAATTTTGATTGAGATACACCAAGAATAGAAGCTATCTTTTTATGATCAACTGATAAATGAGCTGGAAGAACAATTAGTGTAAATTGACCTGTATTTTTTTGACAAACAAGCATTGCTTTAGCTCCACTATGTAATGGAACTTGTCGTTGATTCGAAGCTTCAATACTTGTACGTACAGCTGGATGACGAATAAGTAATAAAGAAATAGGTGGATCTTTTATTGATACAATATGACGTATAATATTTTGAAATGTATTCATGTCTTCTTTCGAAGTTTCACTTGCTGATAATGCCGTAGCAGAATCCATTTCGATATAATAAGAAAAAACAAATTTTGAATTCTTCAATGTTTAAATGCCTGAAGGAAAGAAATTGATCGATTAGCTGGCGAACGATGATTCAGTACTCATTTCTAAAAGTCATATAAATTAACACATTTATGCACTGAACAAATACACATTCGTTCTGCAAAATAAATTGAATATTAGTAAAAAGCATTTTTACCATGGTTGTCAATAAAATATATACATTGAGTGAATATTTTTTTTTGTCTATGAAAAATTCATCTTAGCAGAGGTTAAGCGACAAGTGACTTATGTTCAAAATGGATCAAAAATAGTTCCAGTAGTGGAACTTTTTTTCATGCAGTAGTTCCTAGCGGTATTTACTTAAAAACAATAATAATAAAAGACAACATTTACATCTTAAGTCTATAAAATTAACATAAGAATGGCTAAGACAATATTTATATAATTTGATTGTTGCTTTTTTTCTTCAAATCTCGTTTTCATCTCTTCATACGATCTTCAAGTTTCATGTTGGTCATTCACATCTTAGATTGCTATTACTAGTCTTCCATGAGTCAGTTATTTATAATATGTGCAAACTAACAAAAAGATATTTTTTCGTCAAGGAGTGTATCAATCGCTCATTTTGTTACAAGACATAAACGGAATTCATTTCTATTACTTTCTTCTTTATTATACTATAAGCTATCTCTACCATTTCCCTTAAACATTTAAAAAAAAAGATATTATCTTTCAAATGAAATTCTCTCTCAATTGTCGATTTTTATAGTTTAGGACTCATCGAGAGGGTGTGGATGTTGCTGAAGAGCAGGTATACACTAACATTCACCTACACCTACACCCTTAGTTTTTTGTCAATTATAGAATTTATTGAAATGATCTATGGATTAATTCGATATCAATTACATATAATGCCAGAATCAATACACAGGAAAATTAACGTGATACAAGAAGATATATATATATATATATAATATTGTTTATTTTATATTCAAACAATGAATAAATGAATAATATTTCAAATTTTTCATGTTCTCACATTAAATCAAATCTTGAAGAATTCAGTTAAAATAATTATCAGTTTTATGTTTGTAGAAATTTGAAAAAGCTATTCAAAATAACAAAAATGCATGGTATAAAACTGTGGATCTTTTCAGATTCAGATCGAGATTCAAAATTTTATTTTTGGTCAGATCTGAGTCCATGTTTTGGTAAACACGTAGTTCTCTAGGAGCCACTGCACGCTAGAGTCGACCCAAATAACGAACCATGTACTCAATTGATATCATGCATTTGAGTGTGAGTATGTCAATGTGGGTTATGTCATAACTCAGATCCACACCTATCCTTGTCGTACATGTTACTCCAAACATACATACAAACGCATTTTATTTCGTATGACATTCTCTTTAATTGAGCGAGCATTCAAATCAACTGTTTCAGAATATTTTTCCATTGACTTCTGCTTATTATATTTTATCGTCCCTCTTCATTATGATGAGAACTGCTTCATACTGTTTGTAATAAACTTTACTTGTTTTTCAAAGTATCCTATTATGATGATGGTGACATGTTTCCATGAATCTTCATTTTTTTAGATGACATATTGAAAGAAAAAAAAGACAAATCTTCCCGAACTGAAAAAAGAGATAGTGTTGAAAGAAAGAGGATTTATTTTTGACGCGATTTCTAATAGCATCTTGTCATAGTCACAATATCAAGGAATACAATAATAAGCTTTCATTAAGACAAAATCTCTATAATATAAAACCTATGCAGTAACAAAACTCTTTAATTATAGAAAAAAAACCGAGTTTTACTGTTTGCTTACAGACAAATGCCGAGTAGGTAAAACTATCACGAATACAAAGTGCATAAAAGCAAGGAACTACTGAGCTTTTTTCAAATTTTCTTGATAAATCTATAGTCGGATCTGTTGTATTTCGACTACCAATCAATATGGCATTACCGAGAGACATTGTCTGTTATCAGCCTTGACTCGTAAGATACAATTAAAAAACATCTGAATGTCTTTTGTCTACTTCTATATAAAAGTCCTCGACAATGTCAAATTGCCTGTTATATGACGAATACTGTCATCATAGGAGAGACTAGTGTATAATATCTGCGACATACTAATTCAACGATGGCAGCCAATAGAAACCATAGCATTTTATTTAGACTTCAAAGACAAAATACTATTTATCTGAGATGCTATTTAATTATTAATGTGAAATGTGATGAAAGATACAAAATAATAATATTCCTATACCGATTCATGAGGGATAGTAGATTTAGCCCCTTAGTGTGGAATATCCTTTAGCAAGAATGTATGAATTGGAAAGTCATGCTTTTTTTAAAATAAGTTACTCCTTGTTTATAATGTAAAGAGTTACGAAAACGTTCCAGATTATCTTTCCGAAGGATGTCTAGCTTCATTGTGTCTGATGAGTGTTCCAAAATATATTCTGCTACTCTGATCTTCTTCAAGTAAATGTTGACGGATAAAGCAATTTTATGTTAATTTTTCTGATCCCAATGTATCATGTAGATAGTGTACAAGCAAACATTTATAAGTAATGATCGTATGTGAGTCATTTTCTTTCTATACATATAATGCAAATCTGAAGAACAAACTGTTTTGTAGTAAAAAAAAAAAAGGATTCATATGACATTCAAACACACAGCAGATATCCACGGCTAGAGTTGATATTCATGAGGCCACTATGACTTTCTCCAGATTTATTTGTCGCGAATACATAAAAGAAATTCTCGTCATGTTGTAAGTAGTGTCTGTCTCCAAAAACTAAAATAAGACTGGTTGTTTTTATGCCATTTGACTAATAAAAAGCATTCATTATTTTATCCGGTTATTATCAATTTTTCATTTTATGAGATTGACCTTTTGTCAAAACAAAAATGAACTATATAAATAAGTCAGTGAAGAGCAATCGATTTGTTTGTAGTGTCTTTCAAGGCTTCACATAACCATCAGCTTAAGTCTCATATTACAAACATACATAAAAACACCAAAGAATATGAAAAAAATATTCTTGACGATAGTACTTTTAAAAGTATATGTTATGGTAAGTTTTATTTAGCCTAAGCAAAATAATTTAAAAGTGACGCTTTCTCTTGACAGTTTTTTCTTGCGATTATTAGACTATTTGAGAGAAGAAATATCTGCATCCAAAGAAATCTAAGGATAAATATGGAAGATAATTCAAAGACTGACTGTAACAATATGTTTAAATTCTACATGTCATGCAGGTAACTAAAAAAACAGCTTTCTTGTTTAGCATAAGTGTGCTTTTCATTTATTCTTTACCGTACAGTTCAAAACTCTCACATTTCAGTAATTATCTATTAGTTTGTTGAAACTTCTTTCTGTTTATTCTACGTCATGTTCGAGTACAGTATCTGTTATTCTGTTTATATACACTCTGTTTTTGAAGAATTATTGACATTTATCATTTGTTTCAGATTAAAATTACATGAATAATTCATCAGCAAGCAACTTTGAATCTATACGAATCGATACAATAAAAAATAATATCCTTTCTTCCTGGGGTATCATTTATCTCGTGCTTGGTAGTATCGGTACACTTCTCAATCTGTGCGTATTTACCCGTCGACGTCGCTGGTCTTTCTCACCATGCATATCTTATCTGTTCGCATCAGCTTTGGCAACCGTACCACTCATGTATGTGTCCATTTTGTCACGCATTGGTATCGGTTTTCGAATCACTCCATTCTATTACATTGCCACCTTGTGCAAGTTTCAAGTTTATGTATCTAATGTTTCGGTTAGTCTTGTCATCTGGTTCACGATTGGTTCTTGTTGGGATCGCTATTTGTCATCATCAAGAGATGGTGTGACGCGATGTATGAGTTCTCTACGTAACACACATCGAACAATATTGATCATTACATTTTGTATATCACTTGCTTACGCAAAGATATTCTATTGTTTTGAAGAAAATCTTACCATGGCTGTTGCACCTTGCTCAGCTAAGAATACATCATGTAGTGTTATCGATACAAGCCTTCTCTTTTTCATTCAATTTCTTGCACCACCTTTAATAATATTTTATTGTGGCATAAACATTTATTTAAATGTTCGACGATTGAAGCATCAAAGACAATTACCAAGTATCTCTATCACCCAAACAACACAAACACGAAATAATAAAAGAACAGATCGAATACTTTTACGCATGGTATTCATTCAAGTGATCTTACTTCTCATATGTTCATTGCCTGTTATTGTATTTCGATTGTACACAACCCTTACATTAACAACAGCTAAAAATGTTGTACGTCGTTCAGTAGAAAATTTAATTTTCAATGTTACTTTAATGATCTATTATTTAGAAAAAGTGTGTTCATTTTATATTTATACACTTACTAGTCCTCATTTTCGAAAAACATTATGGCAATTTATTATTAGGATTCGTTCTGGTAATATTATTGTACCTGAAAATCAAAGATGACTTGATTGCTATTATATATCTATGTTACTATGTCTTAATGAATATCATGATATTTTAAAGTAAATGAAATAAATCAATATTTTGAGAAATATTTTTTAGTTGAATAATCTTCTTCGAAAGTAAAAAGATCTTGACTGACTCACTGGATGAAGAAAATACATAATGAACTGAGAAGATCTTACAGATGCATGGATGTTGTATGGGTATGGATGTGGATATTACTGTGGGTCTACTCGTCAGGGGCTCCATAACCACATCCTCCCATTACGATAGCAGATGACTCCAATGTATAATCTGAAAATATTGAATTTGTCTAGTTTAATTGATACGAACAGAATATTTATTCGATGAATGTTTAAATGCAATCTATGGCATGATTAGAACTAGAATCATTGAAAACGACAAATATGAACATATTTTTTCATGATAGTATTTTATTGAATGTATTCAATAAACATTTTCGGATGTCTCAATCACAGATCATTAACCTCTCGTTATTTTTTAAAATTTTTGTTCGAAGAAACAAATACAAATATGAGATGATTCATAGGAATGTTATTAAATGATTCTATATTTTTAAAATAATAACAGTCGACTTTGCTCAAAAGAATGACACGATAGCTGAGCCTTGAGCAGATAAGTCCGGACATTTGAGCATCCCGACAGTTGAGCATTCTATATGTAATTTTAATCAAAATAATTACTAAAGTATGTATATATGACTCGTATGATTAATTAACACATTTTTAATGATACATATAACTTGTTAGCGACTATCTAAGTTCGATAGACTAGCGAAGCTTTTTAAAGAAATAAAAAAAAATATTCGAATATCTGATTGGTTATTCGATGGACTAATATATGTGAGAGAGTGTCAAGTCAAAAATACCTCAGTTTTGTTTTCATTCTAAAACTGCAATGGTGCACTGGAGCACTGTGATATTTTTATCAGTTGCAGTTCATATGTAGACCAAATAAATATCTACCTTCTGATTCTTATGTTGTGATGGAAGCAATGCATTTCGGTTATTTCGTTGACATCGTATACTTCAAGATATTTCGTTTCGACTTTATTCCCTGAATTCAACTCTAACTTCGAGCATATGAGATGAATGAAGTATTAGTAAAAGAGTTTTATCGTCATGAACTTACTTTAAAAGCTGAGCAAATATATCATCTAGTGTTTTTACACATAGGAAATTTCATCAAGTTAAGATCAAACAAAGAACAAACAATATGTGAAATTTTTCTGGTGTTTCAGAAGTCATTGAAAAGTCTTCAATAGATTTTCAAATAACATCTAACTTTTTGTCAGTCTTCTACTTTTTTCAATCCAATATTTGTTTTTAAATAAGCTTTATAAGTTGTCATTCTAGTGCTAATCTCGAAATCAATGACACCTCTAATATCTACATGGTAAATCGGCAAGAATTCGAAAAATTCATGAAAACCTTTCATATAAGAATTGAATTATGGAAGCAAAGTCAAAAGGAAATATTTTGAACTAGATGATTTCCATATGTATAGCAGAAATAAATATTTCAAAACAGCAGAAACTTTATTCCATCTTTACTTATTTTTAATAAAGTTTCAAATGATAATAATTCTGTATGTTGTTAATCTATGAAGATTCTATTGTCGGAAGCTCCACTTTCTAAGCTCCAAACGTCGGAGCTCATCTGTCGATGTACCGCTCAAAAGATACGTTGATAATTCCATTAATGCTATATTGTTGTCTCTTTTGAAAAACAAAATTAACGAGTCCCATAAATGTTTCAATTGAATTCAAACTGTAATTACGTTGAACTTAATTTTTTTCGAAAATCTACGTTGCATGAAATTTTAATAGCTACACTTACTTTATTTGAATGCATCACTTCATAAGAGAATAGTGTATCGAAGCCTATATGAGTAATCGACGAGGTTCAATAAAACTGATTTATATGTTTTCAAGTGTTTCTTGTTATTTGTGTTTTGTAGATCGATAAGAAACGGCAATTCTGCTTTGTGACTGTTAATTTACTAAGATTATTCTTTTTTTTTCTTTCTTCATCAAAAGAGTAACCACGAATAAAAGTGTGTATGGTGCATTTGAAAAGAGTCCCAAGAGTAGCAATTCCTATGAATTAGCATGGTGTTTTCTTTTATGGGGAAAAAAGATGATAGACTTTGGCTAAGATGCTCTTATGATTAAAAAACTATTTGATTTAATTGTTGGTGTGAAAGGAATTGTGAATATACTACAATAGAAATCAAACGGCTTTGTTTAAAATCTCGAATATCTAAATGTTGAGCACGACTAAGTATACTCACTTATTTAAAATGACTATGTTGCACAAGTATGATTCAGTTCTCAAACGTTCGTATTTCAATGAATTAATATTGTCTTATTGTCTCAGTTGAAAATAGACGAAAGAAACTCTTTCGAAAAAAAAACAAATGTTTAACATAGAACTAAACAATGAATATTGTTGTCATTGAAGCCATGGTTAATGATTATCACCAGAGTAAATTTCACCGACATGGCGAGAATTATCGTTGGTTGTTTTCTACTTATGCAGAAACGTATATGTGACCTCTTTTAATCATCTGTAAGTGATCAATCAAAAGTTTATTTTGAAACATTGTTTAGACAATGATTTTATTCCTTACGATGACTTCTAACGCAATAGAGATGCTTGGTCTAACCAAAGGGAAAAGACTTCAGTCTCATACAACGTCGACGTTGCTGTAAAAAAATGAAACGGCTGACACATCCATGTAGGATGAAAATTGGTCGGATGACTTATTCGATTGTTTTTGTTCATTCTTTGTTTTATTTGCAAAACAAATACTGATAACTTCATTTCTTTCTTTGCTCTCCTTCAAAATATGGGCAAGTACTCAACTTATCCCCAATGTCAGTCTGATGCAATAGCTTTCTCATTGCAAAACGATCTGTCGTACCGATAACGTCATCTCGCGTCCTCAGAAAGTGCGAAGTTCCTCATTGATGATAATTCATAGGACGTTGCTAATTTATTACGAAATAAATTCAAATGAAAATAACACAATATAATCATTTGAAGCATAATCGGTATCTTGACTACTCAAAGCAAATATAGTCAGCATAATCATAGAAATACCATTAATTTTATATCAATCTATATTTCTGTTACCGTTTCTAGATAAATAGAATATATTTATGCTTTGTTGATCCGAATGATATTCAACGACGAACACTCCAACACATACCGGATGTAAAGTTGGCTCTCAATGATGTTATCTGATATATTTTAATACCTACATCAATATTCACGTCAGCTATAATCATACCATTTGTTATTTTCGTTAACCAATGGTTAAAAACGATTTAAAAATCATGATCAGGAATCATGTTTCGTGTACGAACACATCTCATCAGTTCAGCATAAACAATCAACTATTATTCACTTCGAAATAAAAGGAAGGCTACCATTTCCCGAATAATTCTTGATAAGAACAATATAGAGAGCTGCCATTTCCCACCGCTTGAAAGAGTGATATCCGGGCCGTTGATTGGTATAGAACTCATTAAGATGAAAGATGTTTTTTTTTATAGATACCTTTGACTGAACACTTTTGCTTTGAGTATTTTTATCAATTTTGACAATAATCTCAACTCAAATTATGTCAAAATGTACGTCAAATCACCCGTTTTCTGCTATACAATAATTACATATTTTATTATCTCTCAACTTCTTATTCTAAACGGTTTTAAAAAAACAAATGTTAATTTTTTAGCGGAAAATGGATGATTTGAGCTACATTTTGTGATAATTTGAATTGAGATTATTGTGAAAATTGACGAAAATACCCAAAGGAAAAAGTGTTAATTTAAAGATACCAATGAAAAAGCGTCTTTCGTCTTAATGTGTTCTTTATCGATCGATGGCCTCAACATTGCTCTATCAAATGGTGAACACCACAGCTCTCTATCTTGTTTCTATCAAAAGTTATTCAAAAAGGGTGTGGGTGGGTGAATGTAGCTGTGGGTGCAAATGGTATTCTTCTTTCCTTGACACACCTGACACTCACACTCGCACCCACACCCTAGATACCAATAACCTATTACAAAATTTTATCAAAAGATTGAAAAGCTAAAAATAAAATAGTTCGTTTCTGATTGGCCCAGTTTCTGGTCAATGAAAGCTTGAATTGAAAAACCGAGCCCAAATTTGGATCCACTAACCCCGATTGCCTTTGCTCCATTCTATTAGATTACGGCTACGACTACAAATATGTATAGGTGACTGCAAACGTGGCCACACACAAACCTATTTGATTTCGTATGACCCTTCCTTTTGTCGAAGGAATATGGAAATAAAAATCAGTTATTCACTTCAGACTAGATAAATGCCTGGAATCGCTTTGATGCAAGATATAGCTTCGAAGACTTCGTTCGAATTACATGTCTAATGATTTACATGATATTAATTGACTTGATTCTCTTATTTTTAATCTTCTTACATAGTTTTCGAAGTACTTTTAAACTTCTTTAGATATATTAATTGTATGTTTCAGTACATTTTATTTTATATATGTTTGCATAATTGTTTTTCTTGATGTTTCGCTTTAATATTATATTCATACTTCATAAGAGTATGATGTAATTTCGATTCAAAAGAAGAAAAAACGTAATTTATATTCAAAATATACATACAGGTGTATTTCTTTTTCATTGTAATCGCGCATATGTACATTTATCATTTTTTTTTACCAAAAGATAAAGTAATCAACCAGAATTATGACACATTTGATTATTTCTTTCTGACTCACTATTGTTCCCCACATTTACCTTTATCGAAAAATATATGAATGATGTAATAGTTGAGAACGAAGTATTTATTTGTATCAGTTTTCATTCATTACTTAATCATTGTTGTTAAAATATTGACAGTAAAATATGGAGAAAACATCTGAAAGTAATGTGAAAAAATTAGAGAAACGTTTAATGGTAAGTCTGATTAAATATTTCTTGT